CGAGTTGCAACCAGAGTCACGGAACGGATTAAGTTCGTAACTAGAGGTACCACTGTATAGGAAAGAAAAGGCCTAGGCTTTAAATGAGCAAAACCTATCTGTGGTTGATGGAGACTGTGTACTTGCTTTTGGAAAACATATTCCTAAAAATGCCTTTTTAATCTACAGTTGCAGGAATGACCCAAGATTCTCTCCTTTCAGACTAAATCATCAGCAAGACTCTCAGTAAGAATGACCTGGAAACTTCAGCTGGTGCAGAGTTCTCTTTTGTATGTTTACAATCTGTTTTGTGCCAGTCCCCCAGGTGAGGTCCACCAGGTGAAACCCAATGCTTCCAGACCCAGCACTGGGTACTGTCATTACACTTAAAAACCCCACTATCCCCACAAGAACCCACATACAAAGTGAGATTGTGTCAATGGTCTCAATGTCTTTCTTCCTGTATAATAGATTCAGATGACAGAGCCAACAAAGCTTGAACATTAGGGGAAATAACTGTGGCACTTCCTTCCAATATACATTTGGATGATATCAACATTACTGTCTTTTTTCTAAAGTTGTGAAGTGAGAATTTAATTCTACTGTGCCTGCTTTTTATTACATTGCTTTTTTATTATTTTTCTTTATACTATATTTTTTATTTAAAATGCTTTGTAGAAAATAAAGCCTTTGTAAAATAAGTAATAAATATATGGCAGTAGATTGATGTTAGAATGTAAGATCATGGGAAAATCAGGCATCAACTAATAGTGCAGTAGCTTCATCCTCAGCAAACCAGTACTATATATGTACCCAGTCAAACCTGTATATTTCCATTACTTACAGTAGTTAAATTAGTACCCAAGTCCTGTTTCTGTAGTACTGTCATTAATGTGCACAAGAATCCTTGCACTTGACCTCTGCATTAAAAGGTATGATTTTTAATTATCCCCACTGTGAATACATCATATGGACAGAATACTCAAAGAAGAATTGACCAAACCATGACAGCGCTAATCCAAACAAAACTATCTATAGCATGAATTCTCAGTCATTATTCAATACCTGTTTTCTCTCTAGTGCAGAGAAGGATGGGGATAGTCTGCAAAGGCAGGAAAGAAAACTATTAAAGTATACCTGAGATTCATCTTGAGACTCCTCTGCACAGTTCACCTGCATGAGGGCTGCCAAACGGGAGAACTTCTTGCTGGTTCTGGCAACATCCAGGCTGTAGAGCTGCCACAGCAGGGAGAGACAGTGACCTTGCTGGAACAGAGCCGCTAGTCTCTTCTCCCTGCTGTAAAAGAAGGAATAGCAATTCAGAGGGTCTGGAGAACATCAGGTCTACCCAAGCACCCCCAACTTACTAGCTTTGAGAAAATCTGAGGAACCCCAGTAATACAGAGTGAGAGCTGGCTTGGGAAAAATGCATATGGGTCAAGTCCTTCGTTCAAGCCATTTCTCTGTAATACCTGTAGTGGAAGAATGTGATAGCATGGCCTTTCTGCTCCTTTTCCTAGGGCAAAATTTGATACATAAACAGGGTAATGCACCAAGTAAACTTGACAACAAGAATTGGAGGTTTATTGGTTTCCTGAGGTGTCCCATATAGTGTTGTTGGTTTGTTTTTTATATGACGCATGATACGTTGGAAGCTATATGAACCTTACAGAGACTAAGGCAGAATGATTGTACATGACGTGATTGGAAAAGCAAAGGCATTCCTGAGCCTTAAAATGGCTAGTTGTAAGAACAGCACTTCTTTATGATCAGGAACAGAGATGGTTGAGTCTGCTGCATTTTAATCAATGTCCCATTTTTATAGCCTTCAATTTATTTTGCTCTATCTTTGCATTTATTTACACATTTTCCTCCCTGCCCACTTATGCTACACAAAGATATGTATTTTCTTGTATTCTCTAAGCATCTGGAATATTGGGGGCTTATGTTCTGAGTAAAGGTATGTTCCTAGCACTGCTGTAAAAGCAATGAGATTATTTTAGGGCGATAAGAATGGAAGTTGACTCCTCCTATTTCAGCTGATAGGAGAGCAGCAGAGGCCAATATCACAAGCAGAACTATAGAAAAGAGCCTGGAGAATGCTATTCTTGTAACTATTTTTAATTTAATATTTAGTCTTAAATATTATGTAAATTAATTTACTTAAATATCTAAAATATTTTTCCTGATCATCTAAGATAGCTTTCTCCAATCTGGCACCCTCCGTCATCTGAAACAAACATGCCCGGGATAGAAACTGTCCAATGAAACTGGATAGCCTTATAAAGGATAGCCTTTATAAAGAACAAATTGTTCACTGTATCTCTGTGAATGCATCCCAACACTTTTATCAACATAAACAGGGGGGGGGGTGGAAATGGCAAAATGTCATTTGATGTAAAAACTGTGACATTAGAATGCAAGTATTTAAGGCAGGGTTTGTGCTGTGACATCACCATGTGCATGCTGGGGTTTTTTTTCTGTCATCCTGGTTAGCTGAGAAGGCCTGTGTTTATAATAAGATAAAACATGCTTGATTTGTCCTGGATGAATTAAACTGGGCTCAGATAGCCTTTAAGAATTAGGATGATCAAAGAGAAACTGAAATGTGATCCTGGTGAAAGAGGCAATATGGTAGTGTATTCTCCTGAACTGGGAGGTTTTTCAGTAAAGGCTGGACTCACATTTACCTATAAAGTATTTGAAAGTTATGGGATAGACTAAGTGGTACATAAAACTATATTACTTTGGAAATTCTTATTCAATTTTATATAGCTAGTAAATCTGTTTTCAATTTCTTTTTTGTTCCTTTATTTCTTTATTTCTTGATTGTGCTTTTAAATATAAAATAAGACAAACTCCTTTCAGTTGTGGGACACTATAGTGAAGAGATAGAACTTCCAGTCCAGAGGTCAAATTCAGCCATCAAGCTTTTCCATCAAATTAAAGGAAATCCAGGCCAAAGGAATTTCCATGTTAACCTCCAAGAAGCTATCACTGAGCTCACCCAGGCTCACCTTTCTATAAGGAAAGATGAAGAGCAAGTGAAGTTGCCTCATCAAAAATGCCTTGAAGGGGCAATTCCTTAGCTTTTACTGAGTTCATCTTTCCTTTGGGAGAAGGTGAGAAGTGAAGCTATCTCTCAAATGGATCTGCCACTTCAAAGTGCTTCTGAGAACCTGAATCAGTGCTTCAGTCAGCTCTACTCAACTCCTCTTATAGTAGACAGTAATGAGGAGGTCAGCACGGATGAAAGTTATTGCTTCCAAATAGGAGAAATGACATTTTTGCCTAAATGAAGCTTACTAGTAAAAGTAAATAGGCGTGTGATTTGTAGTGGGAGAGAAGGAAGTGCAGAACTCATACAGTAGTATTGATTAGCAAATCTGTATATCTCTATAGCATCTAAAAGTTCTATTGCAAGCTACTGTGTGAAAAGGTAAGATTGCCAGTCCTTAGAAAGTTTTCTTGCATGGGTCTGAGACTTAAGTTAATGAGAGCTGGATTAGAAAATTAGTGGAATGGCTTTGAAAGGCATAAAGCAGCCCTGATCTTTTGTCCAGCTCTTGGTTAGCAGAGTGACTGCTTTTAGACTGAGCCAAATATGAATGAATGTGCCCAAGACTACTGTAGTTCCCAAAATCATTCTTGTATGCTCATGAGACCTTTGGACTAAAAATGCTCCCTTGTCCCACTGCAGACCATCCACACCCAGGCTTTATAAACATTTTGCCAGTATCCTACCCACTGTGTAATTGCCATAAAGTTTGTTTCTTCTGATGAGACAAATGTTTGGAGGTTTCCACCATAGACATAAAAAAGGCTCCTACAATGGTTATTGGGAAGCTTCTCTTCAGTAAGCTCAAGGCCTTCTTCATCAGTTTTTTTGCCAAAGTAATTTGACCCATATTGTAACAGACCTACAGAAACATATGGGTAGACAATGATAAAAGAAATTGGTTAGATTTTTTTTTTGTATCACTCCAGTGCCATATATGATGCATAAAAATGTATGAAGGCCTCTCCTCATAAAATCATGATCTTGCAGCATGGCTAATTATACTTAAAACTCAAGCCCATATATTTAAATCAGCTAAAAAAAAGTATTGAAGCTTCTTATGTACTAAGCACTTCTATGAAATTGTCTTTATATCCTTACATGTACTATTGAAGCAGAAGACACAGCACATATGGGGTCTTCCACCTGCATCTTGTCCATCTCCTCTGTTTTCGTGGGTGCCCCAGAAATTGGGAGGGAGGATAGGAAGGGAGATAAACGATATGTCAGGATTATGTTAGAAAGGTTGGGCTTGTATAACACAGCCTTGTAAAAACCTAATAAAATCAAGAGTTGTGTCATGCCTGACAAATCACAAACTAATTGTGAAAAGCTTCTGAGGCCACTTCTCTAATCCATGTAAATGTAGGGAGAGGCTTACCCATGATTAGAAGCAGCAGTGGAGGAATTTCTATTCTAATAGGTCAAGCACTGCAGCATGAAAGCATACCATATCATAAAATGACAACACTGTGCTTCTGACTGAGCAACTGGAGAGAATGTGATATTGTAGTGGGCTTGACAGTACTCAGAGGAGCGGTGAGTACGCAAATGGCTACAGCCGGACACAATCGTCTTACCTCTCCCTTCAGGCTGTACAAAATGGATTCCTCAAATCGGCTAATGACTTTATGCTTGTATTCCAAAGATCTCAAGAGGCTCTCTGCTGTATTCAGATATGTAAAGGCCTCAAATAAGAATAACACAAGAGGAAGGATTCATTTTCTGTATACTGTATCTGTTGATCCCCAACCCCCTCACCATAGGTTTCAAATTCTCAAGGACAAATATTCAGGTATCTTGGGGCGGGGGGTGAACCCAGGGTTCAGATGTAGCATCTATTCATCACAGGTGTAGAACTTAAAGGAAAAAGATAATCTCCAGTTTTTTATGGAGGGGGAAGTGGTTTGGGGGTTTGTTTTGTATTTTTTGTTTTTTTGGCAAGACACAAGCCCAAACAATTTGCCAGGTTTAAGAATTTTTTGGTCAGCTAGCTTCCTAACCTACTCAGCATATAATGGACAGAAAAAGAGAGAACAAGGTCACTTCAAATAAAAAGTGACTTGAAGTAAACTAAAATACCATGCTGATTTGCAAACACTAGTGGAGTGCTTCCCCTCAGCACTAAAATTAAGCATAATGACCCGAATTCTGATGGGGGCCTAATGGCAGCTCAACCAATTCCTCTGTTTGGGAATCGACACCATAGCTCTGGGGGCTAGGGCAGGATCCCTGTAGCCTGAAGAAATCTCCGGCTGTAAAGGAGAATCCATGAAATCAACCCAGATGCTCTCCGGGCAGCCGTTTCTTTGTGATCAACTTGTGGTGAGCGGCTGGGAGACAGGGCTTTTCCATCTTGTTTGAGGCTGTGGTGTAGCCAAAATTTAGGACACTGAAGCGGACCTCCCCATTTCAAAAACACGTTTTAAATGGTCTATTATTCTTTCAGATGAAGAGAGGCTTTTTTCAGCAACAGATAAGTGTATCTTCTTGGTGCTTTTCATATTTTCAATGCTTACCTAAAAAAAATGATTTGGACTTTGGGATTTATATATTAAGCAAAGATGTGAAGGGCTGAATTATTGGGTGTTTTTATGAAACAAGTGAATTTTCTTTGTGGACTTTAAAAATTTTAAGTTTGTTGAATCTGTACTTGTGAGATTGAAGCTTGAGATTGCTGGTTAAAGATTTCTGTGGGAAAGCTGCTTTTTCTCACTTTGTTGCAATGCTGATTGAAGGAGCTTTGTAAACAAAAGTACTTCTGAGACTTTGCTTTTTACCCATTTTTTTTCTGTCTCCAGGGTTTGTTGTGGTTGCAGTTCAGCAAAGGGAATTTAAGGAGACACACATTTATTGGAAGATCTCACTACTAGAATTCTACAAGTGATAGAAACTTGTAAACTTAAACTTTGTAAATTTGAAGCCTTTCAGAAAAGAATTAGATTTGATAGTGATATTGATTTGCAAACAAAATTGGATAATGAAAATAAGCATATTGATGATGTTACACGGTGTGAAGTAAGGCACCCTTCAGAACAGGAAACTGGAATAAGAGATCTGGATTTGAATGGAGGGCTGGATCAGTTAGTTTATTTTGATCCTGGAGATAATGAGTTCTTTATAAAGCCCAAATTTACAACAGAATTTTTTTTTTTTAAATATCCAGATCATAAAGCAGAACAGTATTTTGGAGATTTTTTTTTTTTCATTTTGGATGCGCAGGAAGGACTTATTAAACCTTTGAAGATGACTTTGATAGT